TGCCCTCTATTTGTATGTATGACTTCCGCTGCGTGTATGGTGATTTCGTTTATGTTTGAGACATTAGTGTATTAGTGTAATAAAAATGACTCTAAATGATGAGTGTACTGAGAAGATTTGTTAAGATTGAACTGTAATGCTAAAATAAAAAGATTGATTTATGAACTATGAAGACTGAAGTGATATTGATGGACATTAATTTTGAAAAATAAAACAAATAATCAAGAAGAAAACGAGAAGCTGTAATTTATATATATTATATAATAAAGAAGAAAGGAGAAGCTATAGGTAATCCTAGACTCGCTTACTCCAGTACCTAAAAGAAACGAGATTAAGCTGGCTAATTCCCGGAAGGGAAAGGCCATTACCCAACAGAAGAAGAAGAAGAAGAAAAATTGTATTAAAGACCGGCCTTTTATGCACAAAAAGAACAAAATATGCACAAAAAGGCAATGTTAAAAAACTACGCGTATATTTAATATAAATAAAAAATAAATACAAAGCAGTTTAAACAAAACATAAATAATCTAAATTTATAAAAACGAAAACAAAATATTAATACTTTGTTGGTTTTGTTGGTTTATTTGCCATTTAAGTAGCAAACAATATTTTTTTTTGATATTTTTTTTGTTATAAATTATGTCGTTTATCCGATATAATCAAAACCTCAAGAAGCAAGATAGGCCCCTACAGCGTATTAACCAACCAAGCCCCATTCATGAACCCCAATTGAATGTGGGTGTTAATAAATCACTGATTGAAAGGTATTCCGTATTATACTTAGTTTTGGGTCAGGCTATCGTCCCCTGAAAACCAAAAGGTTTTTCCTCCATGTCCCAACTCCACTAGCCTAATCGAGCATATAGACTGGCCTGGCGAAATTTTAATAATATTATTGCACCATAGCTCCGCTAAAAAAACAACCAGTTTTAAATCTAGGTGCTCACAACGCATAGGTTGGAACTAAGCTTTTCAAAGGTCTGGTGTTTAAATCGGTGTGTTTATTTATTTTGGCGGACGGAGATATGGTTCGATGATATTGTTGGAGCGATTTAGCTTACTATTTTGTCAAGACCATTTTTTTATTTAAAAAATAAAGGTAGTAAAAAATATTTTAAAATATTTTAGGTTTAGTATTTTTTTTGTAAAAAAATGCAAAAATGATGGTTAAAAACACAGATCAAGTTTTTTATAAAAGTGTTAATACTCGTTATAAATGTCTTGAAAGTAATCTAAAATGATATTCATATTCATTCATTCATACACCACGTCACATTTACCAGATTTAGACGACTTGGTGTTAGTACTAATTAATTTAATAATATTTGACAGTTAAGTTTATTAAATGAAAGTTTTTTAAACTATGCATTTATTTTCATAATTTTTATGTAGAAAATTTAATTTGCTATAAAAGCATTTTATAGTTTTAACGTGTAACTTTAACCGATTTGCTGTAAAATGCAAAAAGTACTGTTTTTTTAAATATTACTTCGGTGACGTATACAGTTAGGTCTAAATGGGACGATTAATAGGGCTCTTGAGGTGGCCCCCAGTGAGGCTTTACAGGGTTTTAGAGTATTTTTACAGGGACGCATGAAAGTAGAGGGGCAAGTCGTCGACGTTACCGCTGTACGTGCAAGCATCGCACAGAAGTAGGATAAATATCAGGCGGAACAGAAAGGACGTTTTGACAGGATTAGGACTGCAGCTCAACCTTAGGCGGGGGATGACTGGAACTGCAGCAACAGGGAGCAGCCAAAAATTGTTGCCAAAATGGAGGGGTCCTTTTCGAATCACCAAGGTGCTAGAAAATGATCGCTAGAAGGTGTCCGACATCCCAGGCAGCACTCGTTCGCGGCTGAAGTATACAGTTGCGGCGGTTGACAATATCCGGCCTTGGATAGTATTTGATAAGAAAGGTGGTCACTAACAGTAGTGGATCAAAGAACTACTGGGTATGGCTAGCAGTGGACCATAGAACTGCTGAGTCATAAGGTCAGGTGTACTTTCCCAATTTCGGGGTAAATGCAGTGAGGGTACGTGGGATTTTACTGAGAAGTCGTGGTTTGTATATCCTGGGCTCACTGGTACCTTTTTTTTCTATTATTCTCGTTATTGTATTAAACTTTACTAGTACTCTTTCAAATTATACTCGGACGAGTGTGTTTTACCTTTTTTTAGGTGTGTGGCTATTGGACTGAGGTGGCGTCATGGAGGCTGAATGATTATTAGTTGTAGTTTTTCTTAAAATTAAATTGTAGTCCCTACTAAAAATAATAAAAATTGTCTTCTTATAAATAGAATTCTGGATTTTATTCAAAGAGTTAACCGTCACAGGTAATTCTAGACTGGTTTGGGCACTTAGGGTCGAGTGAGGACACTCTGATTATCAGGATTGGCCGAATGTTAGCAACAGTAATGCGGAATTTGTCAAATGTATGTTTAATCGTGATACGTGCCTAATGGTTTTAACCACAATTTTATTACAAAATTAGAATCCATGCCAAATCAGGCTTACAAAATTAATATGTGTGTAGCGTTATGTATCTCAACCAAGAATGTCCCGTTTTCTCGACCTCGTTCCCCAATTTCGTCACTGCTCCTCTTTGTACTTCTAGACTCAACAACCATTGGTTGAGTATTAATATTGAGTTGTGGAAGTAAAAAAAATATTGTTCGTGTAAAACAAATCACTCTAATATGTACATATGTAAATAATTTTTTTTTAACGTGATATGTTAAAACAAAGCTTATATTTGAAAATTAATGTAAGTATTCAATTTTTTTTTTATCTCAGACATGTGTAATTAATTATTGTTTGGATTACTATGATACATAAGTTTCTCTCCAATAACGAAATAACGATGTGCCTCCTGCCCGTAATTAGCCCTTGACCGTTCTCAAATCATTTCAAAAGAAGGCTAGCCTCAAATACCGCATGTAATCGCCGATAGACAACCCGCGATTGTATCAGTGGCGGCTCGTCAGGGTAGGCCTCTGAGGCCGCGCCTCACCCTTAAAATGAAGGAACGAACGACTTTTTGTATTTAGATTTTATCCTATTACAAGTGTATTTTTACAACAGTTCTACCCAATAAAAAGTAAAAAACCAATCAATTATACTAAGCGTAAATAAAAATCCAAGCGCAAAGCGCGTCAAGGTAACGTGCATCGTTGAGAGTCGCTAGGACAGAGGCGAAATTTTCACAGCCTCGGAAGCTCCCATTTACCTCTAGAAAGCGAAAATGACTCACCAACAAAAATATTGCCGGAAGTTCGCGAATAAATACCGTAGATTCAGTCGTAAATGAGGCGAAATATAGTTAGCTTGGCTTGTTCTGATTGGTGTATTTATTACATGACCGATGATAATCGCTTGTGGGGGTCCGTCTATGGTGGGATGCCAGACTGGCATTGCCAGTGTTCTCTTAGCGTTTGTAGAGCACGTTATTGTTTTGATTCAGATTAAATTATTTAAAACTTTTGGCTGATCTTCTATATATAGAAGAACTATAGTTTTTGTCTCGATTAGTAAAATTTCTTATTTAATTATTGTAGGGAACACACTAAGGTAGATTTAGCAGTTTTTATTAAGCAAATTTTATATTTTGAAATAATAGATTGCATAATTCTTCAATTAGAGACGCGTTTTGAAAATTTAGAATAAGTTTCAAATTTCACTGCAGACCCACAATTTTAGGACCAAATAATAGATAAATTTGCAAACTTAAAAGATAGACGTATAGATTTACTTTACAAAAAGTAGCTATAGTATTTTATATTTTTTAATACAAGTTTAGGTAGGGGTCGACTTTTTAGTTTTATTTTTGATTAATTTTTTAAGAATATATTTTTAAGTTTTAAGATTAAAACCAGTCTTTGATGTGATATTTTGTTTGTTTTGTTTTTTAGAGTTTATTTTTTATTTATAATGGGTTAGTAGGGCTATCGGCGATGACCTCCATTCAGGGGCGTGCTGGCTATATCAGACCGGCCCGGGAAATTCAGAAAAATCGGCCAACTACACACGAAAAATGGGGGGTGAACAAAACCAAGTTAAAAAATTTCAAACATTTATTAATAATTAATAACATAAAGTATAAATTAAATTCTTGAAAAAAAAAACAGGCAACAAACACAACCAGACAATATTTTACACAATGCTAAAACATATAGCATTGCACTTAAAATAAAAACGAATACAAATTATCATCGCTCAGGAAACATATAAACAATATACAATCTCGAAAAATGAAACAAAGCTGGCAGGCTGGCATGCATGGTATGTGTAAAATAATTATGATATTTATACATAACTCAACTAAAAAAGTTTTTAATTGACCACGTGCTGCGGCATGCTGCCTACATAGCCCTCCGGCACACCGACCCACTTAGCCCTCCGGACCACCGGCCCACCGGGATTTCTCCCGGTGTCCCGACGGCCCAGCACGCCCCTGCCTCCATTTTAAAAAAGGTCAACGCGTCGCAGAATAATACCTCCCGGGTGACGTGGAATTTCATTTGTATTTAGACAAAATTAACCTTATGTAGCCTCACCCTCCTGTACACCCACGAGCCGCCACTGGATTGTATGGCTCTAATATATGGATTTTAGATGACAATGGCAACTTTGGAATCTTGGCGTCCTGTGCAAATTACAATTACGACTTGCTAACTAATTATTTAGTTTAATTATAAAACGTATTTAATTAAAATAATTAAAATGATTAGAATATTTAAGGAGGCTTAGCTTTCCTTACCTCCTCTGGTTGGAAAAAGTTTCGTAATTATTTAAACATCATTATTCCTATAGTTATAAGTGCTATTATTTTTAAACGTAGTAAAAATAGTGATAACATATTTTTTTAAATAATTAGAATAATCTAGAATGTTACGTAAAGAAAAAGAATTTCAAGAAAATATAAACAATTTGTAAACTAATTGCAACAAACCAATTTAAATAATAATAAAAAAACTACTTAGTTCTTAGTCACTATAGTGATAAATTGTAGGCGTACATATATATATATATATATATATAATTATTTAAAATATAAAAGGCAATTAGTCCAATAGCATATTGTTAATGTATGTTCCTATTTTACTAGCAAATTTTATATTTAGGGGCATATTATGGTAACAATGGGTTATTCGAAAAAGGTGTACATTTTATTTTTTTCAATTTTTATTCTTAAGGTAAGTTGTATAAGTGATGACGAAATAAATGAATTTGCAACCCATCTACAAGATGACATAAAAAAAGCTCAAAATGGCAAACTTGCAACAGATAACTCAAAATTTAAACCTGATAAAGATGAGGAACCAGAAGGTATAAGCACAGAATAAAATAATAAATTAATTACAAACTATGTTATAGATTTTGGAGAATATGATTTTATTATAGTCGGATCTGGCGCAACAGGGTCGACTTTAGCTTATAGACTGTCAGAAGAGAAGAAGTTTAAAATATTGCTGTTAGAGGCAGGGGGCTTTCCAGACAACTTTACTTCAGTCCCGTTTACCATAGATTTAAGTCATTTTACAAAGTTTAATTGGGGATATAAAAGTGTTCCACAAAAATATTCATGTTTAGGTAATATATTTCCGTTTTAAATATCCCTGTTAAAAATAAAATATTATAAAAATATATTTTCAAGGAATGAATAATGCAGAGTGTATCATTCCAAGAGGCCAAGGTTTGGGTGGCACAACTTTGATTAATGGGCTTATGTACGTAAGAGGCTACCCAACGGATTACATTAAATGGGCTAATATGGGAAATCCTGGATGGTCCTATAAAGATGTATTGCCATTATTTAAAAAAACTGAAGAAATGGTAAAAAACAACCCTGAAGCTCAGGTATATTGGCCAGTTCATGGAAAAAATGGTCCACTACATACAGAATATTACCCTACTACCGATCCACAATTAACTGGTTGGTATAATGCTCAAAAATCGTTAGGTTTTTCCTTTTCGGATCCAAATGGTCCATGGCAAATTGGATATGGCCCGAAACCTGTTCAAATTAAACATGGTAGAAGGTTTGACTGTGGAACAGCTTTTGTCTTGCCAGTGTTGGATAGACAAAATTTAAAAGTACAAACTCACAGTTTGGTTACTAAGATTTTATTAGAGAAGTCATCTGCAGAGGGTGTATTATTTTCATATAACCGCAAAATATATAAGGCCAAAGCAAAGAGAGAAGTAATAGTATCTGGTGGAGCTATAAATTCACCTCAGCTTTTAATGCTTTCTGGAATTGGTCCAGAACATCATTTAACGGAAAAAAATATTAAAGTAATAAAAAATCTACCTGTTGGTAAAACTTTTAAGGAGCATCCTGCTTACTATGGATTAGTGTTTAGTTCAAATTACAGCGAGCCTGTAAAAACTTTTAATGATTATGTTAGGGATTTATTAGTTAATGAAAAGGGACCTTTAACAGTACCCGGGTCATTTAAAGGAATGGCGTTTTATAAATCAAAGTACGAAAAACTTCCAACCACACCTGATATGGAATTTCTATTTACCGGTGCTAACTGCTCCACGCCATTCATGAAAAAAGGATTTAATTTAAAAGAAGAAACATACAATGCAATTTATGCACAGGTTGAACCAAAAAGTTGTTTTCAAATTATACCGGTTGCCCTTCATGTAAAATCTAACGGTTTCGTTAGGCTTGAAACTGATAGTCCTTATGATTTTCCTTTGATAAATCCTAATCATTTAGCTGAAAAAATTGATGAAGATACACTTTACGAAGGAATAAAACAAATTCTAAAATGGATTGAAACCAAACCCTTTCAAAAAATTAATGCCAAATTAGGTGTTGAACCTCTACCAGCCTGTAAAAAACACGAATTTAAATCAAAGGATTACTGGTATTGCACTTTGGGTCAAATAACGTACAACATGTACCATCCTGTTGGTTCCAATCCAATGGGTCCCAATCCTAAGACATCAGTTGTCGACCATGAGTTGAAAGTACATGGAATTAAAAACTTAAGAGTTGCTGATGCCAGCGTCTTTCCATTTACATTATCAGGACACCCAGTGGCTCCTTGCGTTATGATCGGTGATAAGTTGGCCGAATTATTAAAAAGTTATTACAAATAATGAAAATTCAAATTATTATGTACTTAATTATTATAAAAATAAATACTTAAAAAGTTTAGTATGTTGACCCTAATAACCCTAAACCCTAAAAACTCAGCCTTATCGTAGTTTTGAATATTGGTTAAAATATAAATATGATGTTCATGTATCAGAAAAAACACCTCGTGAATGGTTTGCTTATTTTTGTTCTGAACATTTTGTCAAAAATGCAAGCCTGCTCTGGTCAATTAATCACCGATAATTATTATTATGAGCATATTTATAACACAGTTCAACACGATTTTCCTCCCATGAAAAATTTTAACAGATTTTAAAAATAAAGGTGTACCCGTATCTCACCGTTTCACAAAATCACGTCATAGAAATTTGTCATACAGGCATACGTATACGTTATATTATGTTAACCTATCTAGATTTGTAATTCTCTATTTTGTTATAAATCATTTTTTTCTTCAAATCTTGTCTTAACATAATACAAAAGTTATACTTAAAGAAAATATTAATTTTAATTTTTTTAAGTTAAATAATTATTTCTGGTTTTAATTCTTAATTGAAACAACAGATTTGTATTTATCTTATTTTAAATATTATGTTGGAAACATATCTTCATCTTTTAGTTGGACAATTATACATTGCTTTAAAATCTAAAGTGGTATCACAATCTAAAAAACACCACTTGATATACAGGGTGTTTCACATTCGTGGTCCATTGGAAGTTTCTGGGGAACGAAAAAAGATATCAATTTGAAATTTAAAATCTATTTTTTTTAATATTTTGAACTGGAAGTGACATCAACTTTATTATTTTAAATAGAAGACCCCATATATTTTTACATTTTTAAATTCCACATAAAATTCTATACTATATCCTATATCTAAAGTGAATAGTTTTCAAGTTTTTAATTTTTTTCGTTAAAATTTGACAAATGCGCGTCAATCAAAAATAGCCTATAATTTGTTTGCTATTAGGTTTACAGATATGGAGATAAAATTTTTGGAATCTTAAAACATTGTTTAAAAGATTCCATCTCAATTCTTTAACATTTTTAAACAAATTACCCGTTAACTGTAACAATTTAATTAACCAACAATATTTTAATTAACAATTTTTATCACTAATTTATTACTTAATGATCAAAGTGTCCTCCATTTAAATTAAAGCATTCCTTAATTCTTATCTCTATATTAGACTTTGTTCTTATTGACTATTCTAGGTCTAATATTAAAATTTTTAAATATTTTTAAAAATTTTAAATTTGTTTAAATATAAATAAATAATCATCAATCAATCGAAATGTTTTTTTAATTTTCTATTTGATTATGTAAAAACATACAGGGTGTTTCATTTCAAATAAAAAAGTTATTAACGTTTCAAGTAACTGTTATCCTAATTTGCCCTGGGTTTTTTGGAAAATTTGTTAAAGAATTGACATGAAATCTTTTAAACAATGTTTTAAGATCCTACCCATTTCCGAAAACCTAATAGCAAAAAAGTTATAGAATATTTTGATTTCTCAAATGTTAACGAAAAAAATTAATAACTCGAAAACTGTTCACTTTAGGTATGAGACATGGTACAGTAATTTTACTTAGAACTGTATGTAGAATTTAAAAATGTAAAAATATATGGGGGTATTCTGTTTAAAATAACAAAGTTGATGTCACTTCCGGTCAAACCGGAAGTAGCATTTTGTTTAAAATATTTTAGAAAAATAGGCTTAATTGGATTATAAAGGCTTTAAAAATTTCAATCTTTTGCCGTTCTTTAGAAAATAAATGGACCAAGAAAGTGACACACTTGTATTTCGTAAATGTGAAACACCCTGTATATAATTAAAATAATTTTAAAATAAATAAATAATTTTAATGGTTGTCCATTTATTTAGTGAATAAATTTTTCTTAAAACTATGCAGTCTAGCAGTTATCGAAGCTGTTATATTATGTGCAGAATACCGTGGATAACATTTCATTGGATCGCACTTTAAAAAAAATAATGCCGTGATCTGAAAAAACGCCGAGACACGGGTATTATTTTTTTAAGTCATTTTTAAAATCTATAGGAATTTTTCATGGGAGGGATAAAATCAGATTTTGTCGTACTGTGTAAAAATGGACAAAGTTGAGCAAGACCCAGTATAAGCGGCGTACACATTGCTAATGAGAACTTTATGTGTATAAAATTTTACCAAATTTGTCAATTAGTCCTCAATGTTCTTTTTCCTTCCACAAGTCTGTATAAAAACTACTAAAAAAATAATTATTTAAAAATATTTTAGATTAGCCTTTTCCATTCTGGGATGGACCCAATGGCACCGCCTAATTAGTTCAGCTTCATATAAAATTTGTAAGATGTTTATTTTAAAATTTGTATATTCTTAAGAAAACATATTTTCCTTAAGAAATTCGTTGTTTGTCATTTTATTTATTTTATTAAATATCACACATAATTTTGATAATAACAGCCGAAAATTTCATAACAAAATATAATGACACTTAATAATAAATAAGTTATAAAAATAAGACACTCTGTCCTAAAAATATTTTTTACTTTTGAGAACGAGCCAAGGTCAAGTGTTCAAACATACGCGAAAGGAAATAGCCTTTAACAAAGGTGATATTTAAGTTGTTGTTAGGATACCATAAATGTTAAAAAAACGATGTTTATGAACAGTAAAAAATGGAATAAGCATCATAATAAGGTTATAATAAAACGCAATTGCATAAGAGAATGTGTCACTTTCTCGCACGCAAATCATGTGGTATTTCTTTTGCAAATTTGGCAACGCGCTTCGAGAAAAGGAACCAAAGCGTCCAGCTCTACTTTTAGAGGAGAAAGGAAAGATGTGCAATCTTTTATAAATCTATAAATCCCAAAATCCCTTAAATAATAATCCCTTAAATAATAATTACAAAATAAAAACACTTTTGTAGAATTTATATAAAGTAGAAACGATCAATTGTTTATTAATCTGAACACAGAAGCAATGGTCTTTAAAAGCTATTTGGCCAGATCATTATGTTTTTTTTATGATCAAGGGTCTCAATAAAGAGAATCTGAGTTTAACTAATTCATCCCTTGAATCATTTATATATAAATATATGTATATATATATATATATATATATATATATATATATATTTACAAACAGGCGTTAAGGCACCAAATTCGGATATATATGGGCCCAGTGGCACCTATATAATCGTTGTGGCACCATTTCAAGGTGCCAGAACGTTTTATTTCATATATAAACTCTAATGTGTCATAGTATTATCCCTACAAAATTTCCAGATGGTGCCACTTGGACTATATATATAGAAAAGTACAATTTTAGTTGAACCATATAATCTACAGAGGGCGCTAACTACGTGAGTAAAATATACAACGTAGCGGCACCATGATAGAATATATACAATAATACTTTGCGGCACCAGAATCAGGTGACCAGATTTTAGATGTTTCCCGATATTTAAGATTTAATTTAATTTACTATTTAGTAGTGACCATTTCGCTCCTTACTATTATTATTATTCACGGCTAGTGAAGTAAGTGAAATTACATAAAAATGAATGAAAAACACAAAGTTTGTGGTGGTAAGTACTCAGTAATTAAACTTTTTTAAATTAATTAGGAAAACAATCAATTATTTGCAGAAACTAGGGTTAAAGATGCTAAAAATAAAAATTATTATTTTAATTTATTATTATTATTTATTAAAAAAAATATTTGAAAACGAAAAATAACAATAACAACTTTTTTACAAAATGCGAAAGAATATTTTTTTTTTAAATAAGGTTCTCCACTGTTTCTTATACAGTTCAACACGATTTACCTCCCATGAAAAAATTTAACAGATTTTAAAATATAGGTTAAAAAAACATGTCCGTAACTTACCGTTTTACGAAATCACGTCATTAAAATGTTTTATACAGCCATTCTTATTATTTTAACATATGTACCTATACATAATTATATTTAATTTTCTCTTTTGTTATAAATTATTTTTTCAAATATTGAATGTTTTAAATAATAGAAAAATTATACTTAAAAAAAAATTTTAAATAAAAATTCTATAAATAAAAATAAAAAAAAATTAATTTTTGATTTTTTTTTAAATAAAATTTATTCATTAAATAAAATTTTTCAAAATTTAGCTGTTATTGAAGCCGTGATCTGAAAACACGCTGAGACACGGGTATCATTTTTTAAGTCTATTTTCAAAATCTGTAATCTTAAGAAAATAATTTAAATTTTGTCATACTACTAAAATAATAGAAAAATAATATCATATTTTTATAACATACAAAGATAACTAGCAATCTAAGCAATCTTAGAATGTTTCCATAATTTTTAAGCGTCGCGTCAAGTTTTTTGTTTTGCAGATAATACAATGGAAATAAGTTTTTTAATGTTTTAGGGCAAGTATAGGCCGGGCCACCACAAGGCTAGGGTTTGCGGTACTGTCGCTACGACACTGTTCTCTCTTCTAATCTGTCGCAAAATTTGCTTTAAGTACATTAATTTCAGAAATTAATTGATGATTTTATTTTTATGTCATTTCATAGCTGGTTTGCCAGAACGGTTGCACCCAAAAATGGGTAAAATTGATAATTTTATAAAGACATATTAGTAATATTAAGAGTAAATGATAATTGAACGGGCAAGAGAATGATAATTTTTTTATAATAAAGGGCAAACAAAATTGTTATTGCAATACCAAATTTATTTTAATTTATAATCACAATATTGTTTTTTTTGTACTTTAATAAAAAAAATTTACTTTACCCCTTGAATAAGATCACATGTCTCAATATGCAGGCCCTGTATAATAATGTAAATTAAATTTAAAAAACTCGGTATGCCAAAATTATTATTGTCACAATTTATATTCGTGAAAAAAAAGCAATCACATGAAATGTGTAAAAATGGATTTTTTGTTTTGTACACCCAAAAACGATCTTTATGTAAATATTGTAATTGTTCCGTACTGACACGGTTTACAAATTTATTTTCAAGGAAAGTAACGTAGTTTTATATATTTCACAAATTTATTTTAGAA